ACTCCCATCTGTGTTCACATTTGGACATATTGAGTATTCCTGTCAAGTTTGTTCCAGATCTATCATTGTTTGAGTCCACAATGTTCTCTGGATGGAGGTGAACTACAATTCCAAAATTCAAGGTCAATGCCCACCAAACCATTCCAGTATTTTCTGTTGGTCATGGGAGTTTTGTGTGCCAAGTTTGGTTCAATTCCATTGTTGGTGGAGTTCAGAATGCTCTTTGATTGTAGGTGAACTATAAATCCCAACAACTACAACTCCCAAATGGCAAAATCATGATTTTTTGATTGATGGTCACTCCTTGTATAGTGAGACATTTGGTTGCCAAATGTGGTGTGATTTTGTTCATTGGTTCTTTTGTTTTTAAGGTACTCATTATGCACAGAGCATATATATATATATGGATGATGATGATGATGATGATGATGATGATGATGATTATGTTTATTTGTACCCCACTTTTTCTGTCCACAAGAAAGCAGCTGTCTTAAACGAGTCTGACCTGGTCCTGTCTTCTCTTTTGATTTCCACACAGATGTGTTGCTTCCATCAAGCAGTATCGCTGCAGGGACCCAGAGGCCATTCTGGAATGCTTGAAAAACCACCCCCTTTTCCCCAAAGCAGAGATCTGCATTGCAAACAGGCTGCCTGACCTGCAGGACTCCAAGCCCGAAGTAGGTTCAGTGTTGTAAACAATGCCATACTTGATGCCTTATCCCAGGCATGGGCAAACTTGGGCTCTCCAGATGTTTTGGACTTCAAATCCCACAATTCCTAACAGCCAGTTAGAAATTGTGGGATTTGAAGTCCAAAACACCTGGAGGGCCCAAACTTGCTCATGCCTGCTATACAGCTTCAGGTTTTGGAACTGGGCCCGTGTTGCTTACCTTTTCTGTGTCCCCTCCAGGCACCCTATTCTTGGGCGGCGATGGCTGCCATTGTGCTTCTCTCTGGAAGTGTCCGCAACATCCAAGAACTGGTGGCTTGTCTCAGGAGACCCAGCTCTGCCTTGTCCTCCATGGATATCATGGAGGCACTCTACTGCATGGGGACCCTGCTCTACGCCATGCGGGAGAGCGACATCCGTGTCAGTAACAGGTGGGTCTGGTTGGGACGTGTCCAGAGAAGGGCCACCAAAGTGGTTGGAAACCCAACCCTCTGAGGAACAGCGGAGGGAGCTGGGAATGTTTAACTTGGAGGAGAGAAGATTGAGAGAAGGGGGCATGGTATTTGGTTTCCTTTTAAATTCTATTGCATTGTGTCATGTCCTTGTTAGCCACCTTAAGTCCCTATGTAGAGAAAACTGGGATAGAAATAAAGTAAACAAAGTGGGAGAATGGGTGAAACCTGAGGGGGGGAAAATCATAATCCCAGGGTGAGCCTGTCCTTTGACTGCATGGTCTTCAGGAGCAGATTCCTGGAATTGAGGCTTAAGAAAAGGAACTTTTCCAAGTCGTACAAATGGGAAATGGTGGTAACTGGGCTATTCTGGGCCCAAGAGCACGTCAAACATGAACCGTCCCTGAATGCCATCTCAGTGGCAGATCTACACCCTCTTTGAGAGGCGAATTGTGGTTCTTGGAGACTTACAGGAGAGATAGTTCATCCTTTTTTTTTCTTTGTCCAGAAATTTTGGAATCTGGAGTGGCTGAAAATCAATAAAGGAAAAAAACCTATTTCCTTCCTTCACCTCCAACCCATTGTTCAAGATGGTGTTATGGAGCCCCTTCTGATTGAAATTCTTTCTCATTGTAGGACTCACTATAATATTTTCTACTGCCTTTTTCTCTTGGAAAATTCAAACGGTGCCCCTGTTCTCGCTGAGCCAGAAACAGCCAGTCCCAGCGACGGAAGAGGCTTTCAGAACAGGTACTGACTTACTAATAATGTACGTCAAAAGAAGAAAAGACAAATTGTTTAATGCACATTGTCATCTTATTTATTTGCAAACGTTTGGTAGTGCTTATGTTGACAGGACTAACACTGAAGCACTAAAATGAGCCTGTCATGGGATTTTCTGTGGCCGTGAATGTGCAGTTTACCCAAGGTCAACCAGTGGTTTCCCATGGATGATTAAGGGCATGAACCTGGCTCTCCAGAGTTGTAATCCAATGTTTAACCGGAGTT